GACGCACGGCCTCGTCGAAATCGAGGTCCGCAGACTTGGCGCACTTGCCTAGGGCCTGGCAGATACCGCCGGGAGGGAGCGGCGTTGGTGGCGGCGGCGACGGGGCACGTTGTCGTTGTTGGAATATGCACAGGCACGAACAGATGTAGCAATGAAACACCCGCCTGCCATTCGTTGATTTCTGACGGCTTCTGCAGCGCTACTGTCACGGGGCAGCAGACGTTACTACGGAGGGAGGAGGGATGGTGGTCTCAGCCTCGAGTTCTCTTGTTGCGGCACCACATAAGCAGTCCACTTTTCACTTGATTCAACATAATTTCGCAATCTGTCTATACCCCCACTTACGGAGTATGGTACATTTCCTGGAGCAGTACAAAGCTCCTATCCCTTATTATGGCACGCGCTTGTCCTTTTCTCCGTGTTGGCGGTGCTCCATATCCAACCCCCAAACAAACATCGCGGCCTCGGGAACACGACTTCCCTTCCCATCCCCCCCACCGCCTTACCGTAAGCAGGGCGTTCGTCCCCTCCGGTTCCAACCCCGCCACGACCTTGGAAGGCCTGACATCGATGTCGTGGCCAGAGCAGATACCGACGAGAGCGATGATCTTGTCGAGGTAGGCGATCTTCGAACCCTTGTCCTTGACGGACCCAGAGTCGAGCTCCTCGCCGCTGCGGTCGGCAAAAAGTGGAGGCACGTGTCGCGAGAGATAGCGTTGGAGTGGGGGGAGAGCAGGGGGCGAGGAGTGGCCTGTCATCACCATGAAACGACGGTGTACTGGAATGTAGGTGGCTAGATTCGGTTTGAATGTTTCTGTAGATAGGGTGGGCCATTGCTTCTCAGGTCCTACCCACCCACCGTGGGTCAGCACACGGGCACCCAAGGTCGTACGGGCCGGGGTCTACAAAAGTCTACATTAGATTGACTGCTCGAACATGACACCCTATGTATGATGCATCTCAAGAGAGAAGGAAAGTGTGACAGGCCGCGGACCCGAGAGCGACAGACCTCAAGCCATGTACATGTATGCTCCACCTACCTGTACAGACCGGCCGCGAAGCCGGTGGAGGCGGTTACGGCGGAAATGACGTCATGCAGGAACCGAAACGGCGCCTTGGACAGAAGTTTCTCCGACAATCTTGGCTTCTGGAACAGGCCACCCAGCTGCTCGGCAGGAACAGCAAGGGTTATACAGCAGCACAGCACAGTACTTACTTGCAGCAGTGGGGGGACCAGAGTGTTAGTCTCAGTAGGCATGCACAAACGGCTTCGTAGTTGTAACTTAGGAGATGAAACAATTGAGCTGCACGTGCAGAAGGCGTGTTGGCAGGTTTGGGATCCATCTACGGCATACGGCAGGTTTATCCCATTCCGCCCCCGTTCAGACTGCAGCCGGCAACCCCCGTGTCACACATACGACAATGGGGACCAATTTTACCGCGAATTTGCACAGGCGTGTTGTCGCAGGGTTTTCAATGGGGAGGTACGGCAGGATCAGCGTGGCCGGGCGGCTATCTGTAATGTGCTTGGTCTAAGCTTCCGCAAGCACTGTAGCTTGTAGACACACGGGTCGCTCAGGATGGCACACAGCAGCCCATCACGGGGTCATAGACTAGTCTACATGGCCCCCTGCTGGCTGTTGCTGAAGGAGGCCAAGTGCGGCATCCCACGCGCCCGGCGTGCGATCGCAACCAGCAACCAACGATCGAGCCGGTCTCAGCACTCAACACCGCAACAGCACATCGCGGCGCAGCAGAATCAGACGTGTGGGGACAATTCTTCTTGCCAATTTTCGTCAAGCGCTTCTGCTGCTGCTGCAATGCACCGATGATCCCGAGGATTCTCTACTCTGTGCACAGCAGTGAACAGCGGTCAAATGCTGGTGCCGGTTTTAGCCGCTCCAGTGGTGCAGTCTGCCGCCGGCTTTTGACTGCTTGCTGTGGCAAACCTGCACTCTGTACTGGAGTAGGCAGTAGAGCTTTTAGATCCGGCCAAGAGCAAAGCTTGGGGCACCTCTTTCATTCATGGTTTATGCCGGATTGTCTTGGCGGGAGAGGTCGATCCGCGATCCAAACACCAACAACCCAGCTGCAGACAGGTGCGGCTTCTAGCGGAGCTACTGCTGCTGCTGTGGCGTATGCAGAGGAGGAATGTTTACGAATGCAGCTACGGTGCTGCCACTCATGCTATGTGATCAGAAAGCTGGACAGCTGGGGGGGGGTTGTAAGGTTTTTGGTGTCCATTGCTGGTTCCACAGCAGCACGTTCTTGGCTGCGCACCCAGGGTGATGATGCTCAACGTTTGCCGCCGCGATGTGTGATGTGGGATGCACAACGCACAGCAGCAGTGTGGCCTCAAACTTGAGCAATCTACAAGAAGACTAGGAGCGAGATGTTTGACCCCAATCCAGAGCAGCACAACCGCTACCAGTAGCGACGCATTGAGAGACTACCCCACCTGCTCCTGGGTTTCCGCGATGACTGATGCAAGATCATCGCCCATAGTTGGCGGTGCTTCGTGGGGCTAGCAACCAATAGCACGCCGAGGAGACCCGGCAAGATCCACGTGTCTCCGGCAAGCAAACGCGGCGGGCCCCAGCACACGGCAGAATGAGCACGCACAGCCCCAGGATCCTTGACAACTACCGCAATACCATCCGGACGCTGTGGTCCTCTTCGCGATGTGTGTTGGGAGCCTTGGACCATATGATGGGCGATCCCGATCTCCGGTTGCGCTGTAACCGACAATATAGTTCATCGGGAGTTGCACACACGGGCGGTTGGATGTTGCATATCCAACAGCAGTAAGTCAAATTTCAAGACGATGATAGAACGAATGGTGTTTCACATTGAGTAGTGCCATTTTCTGCATGCGCTGGTTGGGCTTTGAATCTTGCGTTTGCCGCACCTCAGTGGTGATGTCGCATCGTAGACAATTGGATCCCCAGGCTTGGCAGCACTGTGTGTGGGGGGGTGCTATCTTGTGTGGATAAGGGAATTGTGTGAGACATGGTCGATACCATATGCATAGAAAGGGTTAAGGAAATTTTCGGTGATACAGCGACCAGGGTGAATGAATTCATCGACAGCATTCTTAGCTTTGTACGCGTATGCAAGCGGGGTGACGGGATGGAGTTTTGCGCTGAAGATTCTGCTCTTCCTCCATAGTTGGCGTGGTTTGTTCACTGTTTTTCCTCCGAGCCTCTCACAGGCGTCAACAAATTTTCTACTGACACTCGATCAAGGTGAACACGACCGACCGACCTCACTCTTGCGGATGCGTTGGTTCGAATGAAATCCGAAACTAGATGTATGTTGTTGTTGTTGTCTGGAGCTAGTTCATAAAGCGAAAGGCAGAGGTTCTGTTCATAACATGGCCGATGGGATGATGAATGAGGCCTTCCTGCGTCACAGGAGATTCGACCAAAAACGTGATGTTTGCCGTGGTGGTGGCTCCACCCCGGTGTTTATTTCCGTCCCATCTACTCTTGACGCTAATCTGTATAACTAACGTTCAGAATGTACCTGTCGGTATTTCATGCATTTCTTCTTAGGGCAGCCGGGATCACACCAGGAGGAACTCTTCTACTTCATTCTGGAGTTCATTCTCATCTCCTCCTCCCCCCTGCTGGGCTCTTGGCCTAAAATTGCCAACGCCCGAAGATAGAAATAGTCTCGAGTATCTGCTCGTTCGTGTTCGCATTTTTTCCGAACGTCTACTGTAGACCGCGAGTGAGTTTTCCATTGGAAACTTGAACACATCAAAAATCCCCCCGGAGAAGGGCGACTGTACGGCGTGCTATGCATAAGGCACCGCCGCGATCTCGCGCGAGTAGCCTCTTCGTCAGCTCAGAGAGCTCACAACCGGACTGAACAATTCCAGCTATTTACTTGTTCTCTCCCGGAAGGGATCCGAAATCAATCCTTGAGAAGAACGATTTCCGGGCTCGTTCTGAATGAGGGCGCGAAAGCGTACTACCCCACGCCATCCACGACACTAGCAACTCTTAACTACACATCTTTACAGTAGGGTCCAAAGAGTCACAGCGCCCCCAAGCAACCAAAAACAACACTATCCAACCACAAACACGAAAAAACCGGTATGCATATGGTACACATGATTTCGCGCGCGCCCTTGCCCATTGCCCAAATTAGCTCCTTACTCTCTACGCCAAGCTTGTGTAACGGCTGGTGAGACAAAAATGAAACAAAGACTACATACACCACCTATACGCACTTGAAGCCCGAAGCATAATACATACACAAATCACCCGAGCGCAGCAGCAGTAGAGCCGAGCGCTATTTTTGCGCGGGGCTCCTATGTGCACTGACAGTGCAACCACTGACAGAGCACCCACAACGCAGAAAGCAATGGCGACGACCGGCAAGACACAATGAACAACACCATTGTGCGACCCCGGGTTCATGTGAACGATAGGTCGTAGCGATGATGTAGGTCGACCTCTCGCTCATTTCCGGGCACACAACAAGCCCCAGCCGGCGGATGCGAGTCGAAGACAATGGAACATAAAATCGGGTCAACACGCAACAAAATTACATGAAACACGACCAAAACAGACCCCGATTTTCGTCCAGTCCCTCCCAAACGGAAACTCTCTAGACCAATCCCCGCCCAGCAAACAAACACCGTAGGACACCATTAGACGAAAGCTAACTCGGGCGAAACCGCAGCAATCTCGTGCCAAGGTCAACAAACTGGGATTTGTTCTGGGGTAGCTGAACTTCATACACCACCACCAACAAGCTGTGCGCAACAGAGAGTGACCGAACATCAAGGGCAATGATTTACCTCGGTTAGGCTTAGCGCTCCGGACCCCGCCTTTGGAGTGACGAACAAACGGGACAATCAGGCATCGTGCTGGTTGACGTTGGCCGACTGGCCAACCCGCCACGCTCTCGCCGCCAAAGGTTGCCGACTACCTTCGTGTTTGACTCTGTTCACACAACACGTCCATCCGCCAACAAAACCCGACGCCCCTCCCGGCCAAGCAAGGCATACCAGTCAACACCCACAGAAAAAACAACAGGGCAGGGATCAAGGGACAGGAATGAATGCCTGGCGGGACAACCCCTTAAGGGAGACAGACGCCAAGAGTCGATCGATCCCGCCGAACACGACATACATCACACCGACAAATACGATACAAGCGCGCTCAGGCGGCATTGACGTAATCAAGAGGGAGGACCTTCTCAGCCGCAAGAGCGTACAATTGAAACAAGAGATCCGCAAGCGGATTCCCCATGACAATGAAACCCATCTACACTAGTGTACTTTGGGGAGAGATATCGGAGAACATGACCTTAAGCTGTAGCAAGGTGGGCTCAAGGCTCTCCTCTTCTGACTCACGACCCAAAGCAAAACACCTACGAAAGCCTCTTACCCCGCCACCTAACACAATAGTAGCGACCTCCGTCGGGCTCAAAGTACTGCTGTCAGGATGTACGTAGTTTGCGAGCTAACTCCACTGCAGCCCACAGAATTTCCTTTGGATTGCTGTGGGGCACAAGCACAAACAAACCGTCGTAAGGAGACGACCAACTTGTTGTTTGGGCTCCCCTTCTATCAACCGTTATCTCCATGGCCCCGGTCGGCAGTTTTCTCCGCAAGAATCCCACAGCCACTTTTCCCAAAGTGATACGAAGTCCGCGCTGAGCTCATGCGCGCCCCACGCCACATTCAGCAGCTCCTGACGTCCGTGAAACCAGAAGCAAAAGAGAGAAAAAAAACAAAAAGGTGACGGGGGCCGGAAGGGAAGAGCTGACCCCAAAGGTACAACAAGCATCGGCGCAGGTTCTAGATCTGCCCCAGCATCGTCTTCCTGTGCGGGCATGTGCTCATCTCTTGACGTCCCCTCTTGTGCTGGTGGCCTCTGCTTGCTGCGGTCACTTGGAAAAAAAATGCACGAGGGAATACACGTTTGAGAACTGCAAGCGAACTAGCAGCCTTACCTTCAACACATCGCACAGACAGAGCATCGCTGCTCTCGGACACGAAAGACACAACCCCCCCCCTCCTCCTGGCTGTGGGCACTCCAAGGCGTCACGCCCCCTAACCTTACCCTAAACCTGACCCAACCGCCGACACAGCGCACCCCTCCCCCCCCCTCTTTGGCCTGCGGGCACTCGATGACGTCACGCCCCCTTACCCGGAAGACCTCAGTAGCGTGTGCCGTCGTCATCAACGGCGTCTCCTCCGACGCAGCACCCAAAAACCGGGGATCGTTCTGGAAACCGCCCCCCTGCTGCTGCGCCGACGGTAGCGGAGCCCCCCCCCCTTCCAGCCGGGTGGACAGCTGCGGGGCCCCACTGTCTGCCGCCAACGATGTGTCATTTACGGCGATGGCGGCGCCGGAAGAAGAGGAGGTGGTACGGGCCAAGCTCTCCTCGTAAGCGGTGACGAGGGTGTCCAGGGCCAGCGGCGACATCCTAGGGTCTTGGACCAAGAAGCACCGCCTCTCGCCAGCTGGTGACGTACAGTACGGTCCCGCACACGACACGCGTCAAAATCGGTTAAGTTTTGCAATTTATCGCCGCTGCTGCTGTCGGGAACAGGTTGACATGCAGAGTTCAGAATACAACTCACCACGAAGACATGCAAGCCGTTCGAGGCTCAGTTTCACATTTCATCACCACATCTGTCGAGCACAGTTTCGTTTTCTTGTGTGGGATCCACCGCTGAGCGATGCCCCTTAGACCAAATCCTTTCTATTGAACTGCGGACGCGTGTGGTAGTGTGGTTCGTCCACTGAAGAAAAATGTCTCCGTCAAGCGCATCGAACACACAAACGTAAAAATTAAAATGGAACAAGGGCTTCATCAAGGGCTTCATCAAGGGCTTCATGAGGTGTGGTGACAGGACCACGAAACTCGCCGCAAATCGCCCGCGCGGGGGAGAGCATCAACAGCTACATTGCATAGCGCTGTACATGGGCTGACTTATTGGGCATCGGACGGCCGTGAACTCCGTAAGCACTCGCGATGCAAGCACGAAGCGTACGCCAAGTGAACGCGATCATCCCACATTTGCAAGCAGACTCGGCCACGCAGCACTTGCCACCAAAACAGCAAAAAAAACAAGAAAAAAACACGCGCGTTCGGGGTGTGGACAAAGGTGCCTCACAATCGGCAAAAAGCGCGACACGCGGCAGAAAAAGGCAGACAACGGCACTGTTGCCCACAGACACCGACGTGGAATGCTTGGCCTTACGAGGACGAGGAAATTCACGCTATCGCGGTGAAAAAATCGGAAAAAAAAGGCTTCCATTAAATATAACCTTCTTCCAGACACCGGCTGGTACTAAAAAAAAGAACGAATGGTTCAACAAACACACACATACGTATCCGTCAAGCACCCATTCTTGGAGGGAAATTATATTTCCATTCTGCTGTGCCCCTGTGCCCCACTCACCGACAATCCGACCCATGCTGCAGTCCAACATGCTTGAGGCCATAAGTGCGGCGTGGAGCTTCTCTGATTGTGTCGGAGAAACCTGTCGAGGAAAAACGAACAACAGAAGGGAAAGCACAAGAGCAGAAGGGATACATGCGACAACAGAGGGACTGGCATAAAGAACAGGAGTAACATAGGGACGTGATGCATCCAGACGAGAACAGAAGGACTGGCATAAGAGCAGAAGGGAAACATGGGGACATGATAGATACAGACGAGAACAGAAGGAAAAGCAGACGAGCAGAAGGGAGTATTTGAACAGAAAGACTTGTATGAGAGCAGAAGGAATGGCATAGGGGTATAAGAGATGCGGACGAGAACAGAAGGAACGTAAAGGCCGAGCGAGCGACGGGGAGGCAGGAGAAAAGGGAAAGAGAAAATGAAGGCGACCGGCCAAATCCAACATTATCTAGAGAAAAGAGAGAATAGAGTGACAGCATGGGCAAGAGGAGTACACTAGTAGGACAACAACAAAGCCGTCCAACAAACAAGACTCAACCCTGCGGGAGGTCGGCCACCGACATACGTGGGCTCTCTCTAGTAGGACACGTCGGCAAGACTGAGCTGGGCCGGCGGCTCCGGGGAATCACACACGAACAGCACTGGCACACCCCCACCTCGAAAACCCTGTCCGAAAAGAAGGCTCTGTACACGGCCAGCTCGCCCAGGGGGAGCAGCAGCATCCGTGGCTTGCCCCCCGACCGGCGCACGCTGTGCGCGATGCTCGATATCTGCGGGGGGATCTTTCGAGAGTTCCCGAACACCTGCGGAACGTTCTTAGCGTCGGTCTCTCCTTGATCGACCTCTTCGCCCTTGGTCGACCGGACAAGATACAAAACACAGCAGACGCAGGTATATCGTGCGGGATCGGGTCAACACAAGTGCAGGGGGGGGGG